CGGGGAATTATCTTTCACCTGTCAGGTTCAAGATTTAATGGTAGATCAACATGATTAGCAACTCAATAGAGAGGCATAACCAAAGTTTTTGCAAATGGCTCTAGATTCCATTTGTAGATAAGGTTCAATTCAACATATACTGAAATCAAGTAGAAATAAACATCTTCCGCGATAAAGAAATCACTATAGAGGAAGCCTGCTTTTCGAAAGCTGAAATACTGAAATACTGACGTCCGTCCTTCCTTCCTTCCTTCCTTTCTTCCTTTCCTCGCTTCCAGTCACAGCTTCTTTTTTAAGCTCTCATTCATTACTATATACAATTTGGAAATAAAAGTAGTAAAAATAACTTTCCCTAACAACAATTTTATGTCCACTGAACTTTCTAATGGTTTTCCCTGTGCACTGAACATTAAATTGTACATAAACATGTTGACTGATTTCATTTAGCCGGTTTCTAAAAAGCCAGGGAGAGGGAGGGAGACGGGCCAATGTCCCCAAAGCCCCTTCTGGCTCCGGCATGCCAGGCAGGCGCCTGAGTGTCTTGAGTGCGCCTGTCTCCCCACAAATGGCCAAAAATTGAAACAGAGTGTCCCCGCTTCATTTATTAGGGTATTTCAGTTCTGCGAGTCCCTCCTATAGCAACATAGCACTTTCCAAAAATTAAGCCCACGCGGGCCAAGTGAGCCTGCCCCAGTCTCCGTGCCCGAGGCAGGCAGGCAGGCAGTGCTGGGATGGAAGTGTTCGGCTCTGGGTGGTGGTGAGCAGAGCAGGCAGGAGAGGGCTCTGGAGGGTCTGGGCAGACAGGACGGCAGAAGCCTTGGGCTCAAAGTTTCAGTAGATGTGGGAGATGCATGTGTCTCTTAGCGCCTGAGTACTTTCCATGTGTTTTCCCATCAGGGATGGGCTTCTCAGAGCAGACATCTGCCAGCTACACCTACTGGGACTTTTAACTGTTCAGAAAGCTCTACTCCCCCCTCTCCCTGGACTAGTCAGTCCCACTTCCACCCCTTGATTTAACAATGTAACCACTAGTTGAATCCTGAATGATAACCGGCTCACTCTACAACAGCAAACAGCACATGGGCCAACTCGAAAACGCCGTTTGGCAGTCCATGGCTTGGAGACTGCCTCACTTTGTACCATTCCAAAGCTGGGATCCTTTTTGGTTTTGGGGTCCCTGAGACACCATTGCAACACAGCCCAGTGTCTGGGAGCTTCTGACATGACTCTGGGTGACCTGGGGCCTCTGGAAGGTTGTGGTAGGTCAGACTCCATGATCCAGACAGAAGTGGATCTCCATCTACATGGACCTCCATCAGGAGGGGATAGGGAGGTCACGAACAATGGGAGAACCTCTGGCACTTCCCACACATTAGAGCTTTTGTTCCACAGGCCAAACTGAAGCGTGCTCAGAGTTCTTTGTCATGACGACTTTTTTTTTCAGCAATAGTTAAACATGGTCTTTTTGGTACATCAAACGTGATTTACCTTGTTTTAGCAAAATGCAAGGAGAACTGAGATTGCCCTATAGAAAATAAATGGAAGCCTCCCAAATTTCAGCTGATGACATTCAGTACAGGGGAGAAAACAAACATTATTAAGAAAATAAATAACACCACGCACAGCTGTCTGGCAGAACTGTTTGGGAACAAAGCAGTTGGGCGGGCAGGCAACTTTTGGGAAGGCTGGAATAATATTTCCCGTTTCATAGCTCCATCTGCCTTTGCTATCCCACTGGCAGGGTACTGAAGAAAACTCCGGATTTTCTTTGAAAATGAACAGTTAACAACAGTTCTGAGCAGCGCAGTCAAGTCTCTCTTCAGTGTGGAGGGGGATCTGGGCTGGGCTCAGCCTGTTACACTGCCCCCCGACCCCGCCCCAGCTCCGGGCTGGGGCAGGAGCCATCACACAGCCACCAGAGAACCACCACAGTGGGCCTGTCTGTGGCCCAGAGCTGGAGGCTTCGCTGTTGCTCCAGCTCCTCCTTGAGGCTCCCCACCCAGATCTGCCACTTCCTTCTAGGGCCTCCTACTGGCTCCCCTAAGTTACTGCCGGCCGGGGCCTTGCAGACCCTCTCCCCTGCTCCATGACTGACTCTTAACAGTTCTGTGGGCAGTGCTGACGCCAAGAACATCCCCACGGATCTGGTGTGTTGCACATGGCGGGCCCAGCACAAGCGTGACGTCTGTTCTGTACCAGAGCCCTGTTTCCAAGCACACCTTCCTGGCCTTGCATTTAGATCCAGCTTCAAAGTGCAGCTTTCTTTTCGGTCAAAGTTTCCTGCCCCTTTCACAAGTCCCTTCTTCCCGGCTGGTCCCATGGTTCTCAATTCTTCCAGAAGCCATGCCGCGATCTGAGGCATGGGACAGTCGCTGCGCATTTAGAATGGCCTCACTCCCCATGCCACTTCCCCACCCCAGCAGACTCCGCTAGGTTCTAACTCAGGGGCCAGCAAACAGCAGCCGTGGTCTGGTTGAAACGGCCAGGGAGCTAAGACAGATTTCAATGTCTTTAAATGGTTGAAATTCACATTTCAACTGGGGTCCATCTCTGGGGTCCACAAATAAAGCTTGGCTGGAACACAGTCACCCTCCCCTATCCACAGATTGTCCATGGCCACGGTTATGCTATGACGGCAGAGTTGAGTAGCTACGAGAGATGCAATGGCCCGCAGAGCCTACAATATCAGGCCATCCATCTATCTGACCCTTTACAGAAACAGTTCGCCATCCCCTGGTCTAAGCAGAACTTCCCCACAGCTCTCTAATAATTAATAATTTCCATTTAGGAACCTAGAGGACCTGGAAGGGACAGATAAGGAAGCATCCACACCCCCGCTTGTGTTGTCAGTGCCCCAGCAGCAGTGTCTCCTTTCTGGATGCTCCCCCAATCCCTCCTCTCTCCACGCCCTCTTAGCTGATGAGTCTCTCCCTCATTCTCATCTGAAGCACCAGCGCGTTATTATCCATCCCCAGCTCCCAGCAGAGGGTCTGATACAAACCACTAGACTGGAAGTTCTTGCCATACAACCTCCTCCTGCAGCTACTTTCTAAAACCACCTCACTGGCCTGGAAGGCAGACAAGCCATTTTACAAATGGGGAAATACCCTTAGAACAAACCGTGTGTACCCGATGTTTCTGCTTCACGTTCAGAGCATAACACAGTTCCAACACCTGGTGGTGGAAGAAGAGCTTTCCACTGAACAGAAAGGACTGACAAAATTACCCCAGTCCGTAACATCTCAATCCTAGAAGGCATTACAGAGAAAGAATCATTTAGTTTTTCAAGTGAGCTGAGGCTTAGAGAAGTTAGCATTTGCCTCAGGTTTCAGGGCTTGTCTTCAGAGCCTACATGCCTCCCCCTACAGTTAATAGTGGGAATGGGTGCATTTTCTTTAATTTCTTTCTTCAGTGGAAACCATGTGCCAGCATCACGCTGGAATTAACAACCTCTTCTGCTCTAGGACCATCCCCGAGCACAAGTTCTAGCTTTCCCAAGTGACAGAACCCTCTGGAAGTCTGGCCAACTCTCCGAGCCCCTTCTCAGAAAATGACATGTGCTACTTAATTCGGACATTAAGGAACAAGATCTGGGGGTGAGTCTGATGACAAGGTAGTGACAGCTGGAGACACTGTAACAAAATCAATGACAGTTTCTACTGATGAAAAAAACCACTGTTGCCTATGACCTAAGCCATCGTTAAAGGAGAGGCTATATCTCAGTTATAGTTTGGTAAAAAAATGAAGACATGCATTTCTGCCATCGAGGTTCATGAACCCCTTGAATTCTGTGTGTGGAGCCCAGGTTAAGAACCCCGGCTATGGCAGTAGCCTGGGAGCAGGCCCGTGCGGAGGAGGGGTGCTGTAAAGGTCTAACGAGGTCTCTGCAAAACACACGTTCCAGGAAAACAGAATTCACGACACAAATTCCAGGAGCACCCAAAAATTAAAATCGTAGGTCTGGAATGCTCTGCAAGCTGCTCGTGCATGATTTCGACGGACTCGGACTTCCATGGGCAGTCCGGTCCGTCCGGTCAGGGTAAGATACGCTTCCACAGACGGGGAAGAACAGAGCCGGCGCACTGAGATACAAACAGACTGCGGCAAAGACTCTGAGCCATTCCCCAAGCACACTCTGGCTGGTTAGCATACTGTTAACCCGAAAGTGTTCAGTTTTAGTTATTAAAGGAAGTCACCCAGGGGACTGACAGAGCCACAGAATTGAAACAGAAAACTCTTGGGAGTTAATGCAACACTGGAATTTTACACATAAGAACGGTAGAGTTCAATGAAAAAAGAGAGGGGATGTGCCCGAGTCCAACACAGAGTGGGGCTGATTTAACGGATTCTGGAAAAAAAAATTACAGCATTACAGAATGATGAGATCTGAGCAAATCCTGATTTAAAACAGAAAAAGTCTGTGTTCCTCTGTCACCATCCTCTTATTTAAATTCTGATTTCTCTGTGTATTGTAATTTGATGGACCATTAATCTGTCCAGTGTATTTTACTTCGAATACTGAAGTGGATATTTTGTTTAAAAGATGAAGTGTCAGGGCTCAGAAACTGCTTTTCCCAGCATGATTTAATAAACTGCAATCTTCCTATCTGACACTTTTAAAGGGAAATTTTGTGTATGTAGCTAATAGTTCAAAAATCAAGAAATACCAACAAAAACTATTTTTCCCTGTGAAAAGGCAGAGGTTTTACAAGACCAAGACTTCTTCCTCTTTGTTTGTAATAACAAAAATAAACCAAAGTCCTGACATATCTGTAGTATTTTTATTCCTAAAGGAAAAAACAGGAACCTTCCTTGTACTTTAAAGTTATTACCCCCGATATGTTACCAGCTAAGCACTGTGAGGCCAGCCTCAGACACGAGAGACCCGCTGCTCTCTCTAGGAAATGCCCCATTAGCGTGGTGCCTCTGAAGCACTCAGGGGTCCTGTCACTGATCGGTTTTTCCCAGGGGGTTTCAGCAGCACATAGCCCTGGCTGCACAGCGCATATCATGCTCGGATTTTTCCTGTTGCCTGGCTAGTGACCCCCTACAGGAAGATAACAGACACGCCGGGAGGGCGGAGCAGCTTGCTACACATGTCTGGCTGCTCTTATCAACTTATCATATAAGGAAAGGAAAGTGATTGATTCGGATCCTGACACCGCAGAATCTGGGGGAAGAGAAACAAAGCAGCATTAAGGCTGATCTGTAGAGTGACTACAGCCCTCAGGAGTGAGCAGGGTTATTTGTTCGGCTGCCATCTGACAGTTCCCGGCAGCACCGACCCACCAGAGGGAAGACAGCACTCACGATCAAGTTCCTGCTGGAAAAGGAGGGAAGAGACTCCCACCGATGGTCCTTAAACCGTGGCCGCAGAGCCCCGCATCTGAGAGGGCAGCTTAGGACGGGGATTCCCATGTGCCTTCGAGTTTGCTAAGCCGCTGGTTTATTACCAAAAGAAAGGAAGAATGTGGCAGATTGTTTTCTTTACTTTGGGCTGTGATCTTGTCCTAGCCGCAGCCTATAACAACTTTCGGAGAAGCATGGACAGCATCGGGAGGAGGCAGTATCAGGTTCAGCACGGAGCCTGCAGCTACACCTTCCTCCTGCCAGAGACAGACAACTGTCGCTCTTCCAGCTCCTACGTGCCCAACGCTGTGCAGAGGGACGCACCGCTAGATTATGATGACTCGGTACAGAGGCTGCAAGTGCTGGAGAACATCATGGAAAACAACACTCAGTGGCTGATGAAGGTAGGAAAAAAAAATCATTTTTACTTGGTGAACTTCATGAAGCTAATAAGATCAGCTCAGTTTTTAAAAAGGATGGGAGGGGAGGAAAAGAGCACAGGAGAGAGAGAGAGATGGTGGCTAATACCTTCGAATGAATTATCCTTTCTTTGACTCTATCCCAGGGTGTAAAGTAGTCCTGGGTGGGAAGTGAAAAGGATTATTTGAGAAAAATGCCAGAATCCATAAAGAGATCTCCGAGTTCAGAATCTTTATTTAATAAAGTAGAGAAAGTGCACTTCTCTGCAAAACGTGTAGGCTGTGTTGTTTGTGTAAGTGGTTTAAACTCAGCAACACCCATTGCCAGGGATGTTATAAACTGGTTTCAGGCGCGGGGGTGCGGGGGAGGGAAGCTGTAAGCAACAGCGGTGCCAGAGCCAGGAGCCAGGAAAAACGTGACAATCATGCTAATTACTGACATAATGGATGGAGTAAAGTGCTTTACCAATTTCCTGAATTTATTTACTAAAATAGATTGTGACTCTGGGTAAATGAGAGGAAATTTAATAAAGCAGACTTTATGTTTCTCAGAACCTGTGGGCTTTACCCTGAAGGGTTTGTTGGTTTGTAAATGGGGTACTTTTCACATGCATCCCAGGGTAAGTCCGGCCCCCAGCCCCTGGCTGCAGCAGCAGGCTGCGGGTGTCGCCCCACGGGGACAGGCATACAGGGCATTCTGCCACAGCTCTGTCATGACAAGATGGTCGTGTTCGCGGGGCCATGATGATACACAGTGTCACAGATGTTTCATAGAGAGTTTGACCCAAACAGGATATGGAAAGCTCAGTTTTTCTTTTACCAGTGAGGATTTTCCTCATGTACCTGTGGGGGGTATTCCTACAAAACCCAAAGTCTCCCTGAAATTTTTCTTGATATGGAATATACATATATGTATGCATATATATATACATATATATATATATTCTAAAGGAGGCTTAAACGAATTGCATAAATAGATTAATCATTAAATATTACACCGACAGTACAGTACATCACGGTGCTTACGGGGTAGACAAGGTACTATTTACTGAGCTAATTCACTTCATTCAAGACCTTGCTCCAGAAGGAATTCTCAGCCTTTCATTTCCCCATAAACTCTCTGTTAGAATATTTCATCTTAATCTTAGAATAGATCTTGGCTCCAAATCTGTGTTTCTCATTAGCTGTCCTACCTTCAGAGAGGAAATGGCCACGTTATTACTTGAGTCTAAGCCGGAATGAATGAGTGCCCTCAGCGCTGCGTTCCCTGGAACCACGCAGCCGCTTCAGTGCAGACACAGAAAACAACAAACGCTTACCAGAAAGGCCTGCTGTGTGATACACAACTCTTGCCTAATCATCTTTGAAGGCACTGGCCCTTCTGGGCAAATTCTCTCCGCAGGTTTTCCTCTTTTCCTAAGAAGGTCCCTGTGGTGTGCACTTTTAAAATCTTCATACATGTGCATAAAAAAGAAGCTGTTCATTCACAGATGTACTTTAAAACAAAAAATACGCAGCAACACAAACAAACTGCACCCTAAAGCTGTCCTCACTCCGATGTCCCATTTCTTTTTGCATTGTCACGTTCACGCTGAACCCCCTCTCTCTGTCCACTGTGGTTACGCCAGGGCTAACAGCCGTGGTGAGAGATGAAAGATACATCATACATAGTAAACACCCTAATCTGCCCGACTAGTAAATCATCTCTTAAAATAAACAGTCAAGAAACCTGAAAGAATGTTTTGCCAAATGCAAGACTGCTTAAATTGCATTTGCTTAATAAAGCCCACAGTAAGCACACCTGAAAAACTCCATGGGCAAGGCTCATATTTCTTAGATAAACAACCCCCTTTTCTTAGATCTTTGAGACACAGTTTGAAGAAGGAAAGGGGCAAGAAATTCTACATGAAGAGACCAACATTTTTTCCTTTCCTGGTTCAATTAGTAAATATTTGAACAGTGGCACAATGGCATTTCCAGACTCCTTCTTTAGCTATCTAGCTGAATTATCACAGAGAATGACGTCATGTTTATCGTCTCATCAGCTCAGCACCTGTTCGCCTGGCCTATCTGGGTGATGTGCACCTGAGAGTTTGTGCTCACTCTGATCACAGGCTTCTCGTTTCGGAATGAAAGCAAAAAAAAAAGCAAATATGAAACCTGTTTAAAGTGGTTAAATGTAACCTCTTTGCTTGTTTTTTATTGCTGTGTTTTGTCACCTGTGACAATAAACACTGCTTTTCTCATAAGGGACAAAATAATATATAATGGGATGATGGATAAGCCACAGGTTTAAAGGTTCAACATCACAATCTAACTAGATGGCTAGACTATCCCCGAGAGAAAAAGCACAATTCTGTGTTTTTCATTGTTTCTCATATTTCCTTTTCTTTAGGACTGTAGGTTTTTGTGTTTTTTTTAATGTTTTCATATTTTCTTTCTCTTCCTGATCAACACTAAAAATTAGAGGGGTCTGTGGGGTCTTTAAGATTTTAAGAAAAGTTGTTAAGAGGGAAAGTAAGACCAAGTTTTTGGTTGATTTCAGGGCAGACGACTAGCAGTTCATCTCCTGAGCGGCAAGCATTGCCTAGGGAGCTTGGACTAAGAAAGCCGTTTCGCAATCACCAAAAGATGCCACACTGCCCCTCTAATCTGCCAGGCAAAGGAAGTGTCAGGCTTCTGAATGAGTGCAGAGTAACATGAATGAACAATGCAGGGAGGGCTCACTTTCTGCTCAGTGGTTAAACAAGGATAAGATAAATGCATGACAGTTTACCAAATACAACACAATGACCTAAAAAAACATTGTATGTCACAGTCCCCTGCTAACCCTGCAGCTGTGCTAAACCTCTGCGCCAGTGATACTAAATTCACGGTATAAAAACGGGACAAATAACTTAGCGAAGTGGATTTTATCTTGCATGGAGACCAAATGTATTTTTTTTTCCGATAAGAGGAAATAGGGAAAGGAAATAAACAATTATTTCACACTGATGAATACCTCAAATTTATAAACAACTGCAAAGTCTATTGTGCTTTAAAACAGAATGTTTTGAAAAATAAAGCTAATGCCTATTAAATTGATGTAAACATTTCCTTTTTTTTTTTTTTTTTTGTAGTGAAAGAAATACAGGGTAGGCACTATAAACCTGAATCTAGATTCTTTTGTTTCTCTAAAACTAATAATAATATATTCTTTTAATAAGGTGGGAGGAACTACTATTCTCCAGTGGATGTAGAGGGGACAATGCACTTTTGCTGCTAAAAACAAAATTGCTGTCAATGGGAAAACTGATGGTGAGAGGCTCAGGGGCACTGAGACCACCAGCCCTTCCCCATCCCTGTGGCAGTGGGCGGGTGGGGGGGGGAGGTGGAGAGGGAGTATGTGTGTATTTTATCATATGTGGTTGCAAAACATTCCTTAGCTGTATATTCAAACAAACAAATAAACCAGAGCTTGGTTCATTAAAGGAAGAGAAAAAAAATATCCTACTATAGCCATAGCCAACGGCCCACTTCGGGACTGGAGAGGAACCACAGCTCCTATGCTGTATCTGCTGTGTCTTGAATCATGAACTATGACTGTGTTCAGTATTAGCAGCAAATTTCGTGCATTCAGACAAGCGGAATAAAGCCTGTATTTCAGATGGCAGGGAAATGATTACTACTGTTATTTAATTATATACTCATATCACTATAGCAAGGAATGAAGAGATAATTAAAATGTCACGATGGGAGAGGAAACATATTTAAGTTTGGAAAATGCAGGTATAATGTTTACTGTGTATCATGTAAGATATACATAGTGCAATGTGTGCTTACTATGTATATTGTATAAAACATACTGAATATTTAGTACACATAGTATATGCTGTTTATATAATATTTGCTTTCCATGGTCAAGTAGTCTCTGCTTGATAACCGGGGCTTCTGGCACGCGGAACCGCGGAGGTACTGCACTGTGGGGAGACAACTATCTGCCTATGGACTCTAGAACTAGGAAATGGAGCTGCACACAACTTCCATAATATCGTACTTCCTGTTTAGACACTAGGTAATCTGTAGAGTCTCCATACTAAATTTTGAAAATTGGTTTATTTTCACCAATGTGGTTCTTTACAGTTTACAAACAGGTTGTGATGCAGTGACTGTGTGGGAACATGACAGGGATAATGACCTTACGAAGTGTGACCCTCTGGCAGGCTGGCCCAGAGTGCTGGTTTTAATTTATAACTGAAATCTCGTGCATTTATAACTGAAAAACAACAGTTTAAATCAACCCTACTACCATATGGATAACTTGAAAAAATAAAGCACACATATTATGAAAGTAATACACAGGCAATGTAAAATAAGCAAGTCAAACCATTAAAACAGTAGAAAGGAGGAAGTAAATTCTCCCTTTCCCTAATCTTCCACTTCCAGACAAGCACTTATGAGATTCATACGAGCCCTTTACTGTAAAAATTTAATATGAAAACGTATGAATTTCCTTCTTAAAATATGTGTGTGGTATTATACCACTGTGATATGATCAGAACCCTTATTTGGATCACCAATGACATCGAAAGAGGTTAAAAGAAAGAGATTTTATTTAGGGAAAAAGCAAAATTTGGAAGAGTGAGGTAAAGGAGAACATGAGGTAAAGGGGGGTGTGTGTGTACATGTGCATGAGAGAGAGAGAGAGAGACAGAGAGGGAAAGACAGAGGCAAGGGGGGGAGACAAAGCCAAGCGGTAGAGACACTACCCATGAGGGCTCAATCAAGATAAGGAAAAGGGGCTGTGTTATTGCATGGCTGTGGTGACAGAAGAAAGGTAGTTAATATTGCCACATATTCTGGCCATCAAATGACAGCACGGCCTGCACAGCTCTGTGGATTTCCCAAATTGAGACCTAGAGGCTATATGCAATGAACCATGGACAGATACAGATTTTCCAAATTAGGTGCTCATAAATTGTAGAATATATGTATTACTTAATGAT